TGTACATCTGTGTGTTTTTAAATAAGGTTAGGTGTATTCTACTCGTCTTAATGAGTGCGTTCTATCATGTCCTCTTCTGTTAGGCATTACGTTTATCCGAAGTATCTATAGATCTAATTTACTATTGTGATGAATACAAGTAAATAACTTTTTATCGATCAAACGTGAATATAACAACAAAGCAAATACTGGAAGCTCACAAGCAAAGACAGGTTGCGTGGCCCTAGTGTACTGTACTGGAATGGTACGGACATTAACATCATCATACTCATTTTTCAGTGACTGCTGTTGTATGGTGTTCTACAACTTGTATCAGTTCTACGAACTGAATGTTGCATATCAAGAAACGGACCCCATGGCTTTCATTCCTATCTTATCTAAATTATCGGACAGTTGTTACGATGTATAGATTAGCAACCATGGACGACCATGTGACGACCCCAGTGGACGTCCAATCCAACGAGTTGGCGAAGCTTACAATTTATCGGGGAAAAAGCCATCATAGGGAGCATTCTCTATAAAAGGGTAAGCTCAAAGGTTGCTCCTCTATCTTCTAGCTAGTAATGTAACTTTTCTGAATTAAAAAAGTGATGCCATATCACTGCATCAACTCCATATATTGGCGAAAGAAGTGACGAGTAGTATAGGTTAAGGCGCTACCGGGCAGGATCTCCCTCAGTTTTCCTGTTTTCACGTACATACATGTAAAAATAAGCAAACATATTACCGAATAGCTTTGACACACACGATCTACTAGCCATCTCGTTGATTAGCTAACACAGCGCGACCCACTCTTAGCCGCTAATCACCCACATTTGGGGCATTATATTATCAGATCTTGTTTTATTTATCTGGGCTTAACTAGTTACTATCAAAAGCAAATTCCAGAGCTTGCTATTAACATGAAATAGTTTAAAAGTCGATTTAAGCGAGACTATCCCATTATTGCATGAAAAAAACTTTTATTAGTCAGGATAAGAATCCATGTCATGTGTAACTTTCCCAGGTTTATCTGCAGCTTCATGAAACTATCCCGTCATAACATAATTTTACCATTAATAAAATGCGTGAATTGATTGTATTTATTCAGCTTTCTCTGGTAAGCATCCTTCCCATGCACTTACAATTGATAGTACGTTAACGTTTCACAATGCCGTAATATCATTGTAATTATTCGCAGGAAAAGGTAGCCGTCAATTACTCGTCGGCTCTTCGTTATCCCGCCTCTTTAATTGCATAAGGATCCAGAAACTTTGTAAAAAATTTTATAAACATTTGTAAAGTTTCTAGATCCTTCTAATCTATAATAAATTCAATGGGTCTTGTTCTCAAAAATTAACCTCCAACCCGTGTGTCTATGAACACAAAGCCTGATTTGAAAAGGCATCCACAAATACGTTGGCACTATTTGCTCAGAAGCTTTACATGATTTATAATTTGGTATCATTGCAACAAATTCTGTCATTTATGTTCTTCGTTTCAATTCTGAACATACATGATAAATCCAAGGGACCGTTGATGTGCTAATAAATAGCGCGCTAACAATTTTATAAAACATGACCTGAATGCCTACAATTTTAACACTTACGAAGACGATGCGCCACCTCAGCATGCCCGAACAGCGATTTACCGCATGTCGTTTTATGCCAACGAACCATTGAGGCACCATGAGATATTCCACGTCACTGTATCCGCTCATAAGAACGCGTGTCAGGCGCATACGCAAGGAACGTGTTAACGATGTTACTGGCCTCTAATTTATCACTCTGACATCAACATACACATTTAACGTGACGTTAGGTCTTCCATGTTGCTGTCATTCACAAAAAATTATTTGGAATACTTCTGTCCACTTTTCGCTCATGAAGTGACTGGAAGAATTGCAGCAGCGTGTCGAAGGCAGCATCCAGAGCTAGTCAAATTCTTGTTGAAAATGATTCATGATGGTAATGGTGCAATAATTAGTAACGATGGCGCCGGCAAGCTTAGAATGCCTACGTAAAACTTGCTTGTAAAAACTACATCTTAGAGCTCTGGTTGCTATGGCATTCTTTAGTACGCCCCTCAATCCTCGCACACACGCCAGAGCTGTCGTCAATCCATTGTGATGAGGTCCCGAAAGTCCCTTGGTCATTATGTCCTCCATCATCACAGAAGGCTCGCAAAATTCGAGCTTCACTTCACCGCGCTTGACCTCATCACGGATGCGATGGTACTTGATGTCGATGTTCTCGGCGCGACCGTAGTTCACCGGATTCTTTTTCATTTTGATGCGTGGCTGAGATGCTTAACGAATGAAAAGTTTCGGTCCTGACTCATTTGCGACCGCCAAAACCTCGCATAGCAAACGATGGGTCCACTCATCTGGATGGCCAGACTTAGTGTGATGGACGCAGCTTCACTCGTCTACAGTGACATATTTGACTTCTTCTTGCTTCCCAAACTCACAGGACCACCAATTAGTCTGAAAGTGTAACTTGAACTTGACTTGCGATCAGTATGGTCGCTGGCCCAGTCCGCGTCCGATTTCCACAAAAATATAATCATGTCGCTTCAGCAAGCGGAGACCGTGTGACTTCAGCCCCTAAACGCAACGAAAGACGCGCAATACCGCCGTCCAAAGTTCTTGCTGCGGAAAATTCATGAAGCGTGAGACGTACCCCACAGCATACGCAAAGTCCGGGAACGTTGAAGACGTTATGTGCATTCGAGCTCCAACATCTTCGCAGAACGGAAACGTCTATATTGGCCTCTTTACTGCTTGCTACAAGCCTGGTGCTTAAATCGACCAGACTTGCTGTGGCTTTGCACTCATACATGCTGAAACGCTGTAGGCTGTCGTTGACACACCCTTGCACATCGTCACGCTGCCATCCAAGCCGTCCACCAGTTTGATGCCTACAACAAAGCACACTTGCCACCGTCGGTCATCTCGAATTGCGTCTTACGATCAGCCTTCGTGTGCGCAATTAATTAGAGCGAGCTGACGGTCACCAACACGTCGTAAACCAGCGCGATCACACAGCGAGCATCGACCACCTTATGTATAGACATAGATCAAACGCCGACACTTCGAAACCATGGAGCACACAAACTCTTCATAAGTCTCGTTCCACACACGCGAAGCTTTCTCGAGACCATAGGTCGCCTTTACCAAGTCCAAACAATCAAAGTTGGCATCCGTCTCGATGCCTTCTAGTACCACGCAGCACACCTCTCCTCCATAACGGCGTATAGAAAAGCTGTCTCTACATCGAGTTAGTCCAGTGGCCAGTCGAAGTACTTGGTTATCGCGATCACCATACGCAGTGTCACATACTTCACCACGGACGGGAACGTCTCCGTGTACTTAATGCCGTACTTCTGCTTATAGCCCTTGGCAACAAGGCGCGCCTTGTAATTTTCGATTGATTCATTCGCTTTGCGCTCGATCTTTAACACCCACTTGGTGCCGATCGCGCTTTGGCCTCTTGGCAGTTTTCCGCACATAAAACTACACGAAGATGCATCGACTTAAGTTACGCTGCAGCAGTTCGCCAGTGAGCTTAATCAGGAACGTTGGATGCGCCTTAAAAAGTCTCAGGTCCTGCCAGGTCTGTTACTTTTACTGCAATTCAATTGTACGCCAAATGTTTGAGGCGTCGGGTCGTCCTTTCGATTGTAGACGCTCGCATCCATTTCTTCATCAGACATCGTTGTATGAGTACTTATTCGTCGTTTCTGGTGACGGTCGGAGACGCGTTCCGGCGCACTTGCTTGTTCCAGCCCATTTCGATGGCGAGCCGACCAGGACATGCCGGTGCTTGCTTTACTGTTGCACTTGCCAGTCTGCTAGTAGATGGTCTGACGCACGTCCACATCGTTGATCGCCAGGAGGTTGAGGTCCAATTACGCATCTTCATCGTCTTTGCTTGATTGGTCCATCGAAAAGTCAAAAGTCGATTTGTCGAAATTAATATTACGGCTGATGACCACTTGGCCCGCCTTAATGTTGTTTACTCGGTAAGCATTTGAAGCTATTTCGTAGACCATGAATATCCCTACACGAGCCTTTGGGTACCACTTAAGTAGCTTCTTTTTTGGTGTCAGAATGTACGCTTGACATCCAAACAAGCGCATGTGTTGAACACTTGGTTTCGACTTGTACAAAATTTCGAAAGGGGTCTTATGGTCGATCTTGGGTGACGGCAGGCGGGTTTTAATGTAGATCGCCGTAATTGCCAGTCCAGCCCAAAATTACTGTTTTAGATTTGCCCGATGTCACAAGCTGCGTCCGATCGTGACGGGGGTCCATATTGCGCGCCTTGCAGTGCCGTTAGTATGATGTGCAACGGCACCGTGACCTGCTTCTCGCTACCTTGATATTCGTAGAAGATCTCGATCGAGTTGGTCGCTAACTCAGGCGCTCCATCCTGTCGAAGGAACTTGATCCTCTTGCTGAACTGCGTCCGGATATTATGAATGTGGTTCTTGATGCAGAATTTTCTCTCAGGCTTGGACCGCAGAAAAATTTTTGTTCAAGCACCCGCTGGCTTCGTCAACCTCAAGTAGCAAATATCTTCCGCCGCAGATCAATACTTGTTCCATTGGCCCGCGAATGTCGAAATGTAGCAATATAAACATTCCGTAATAATACTTGTCACGGTTGGTTGAGAATGGTCTTTGAAACATCATCCCTTACCGGCAAACGCGACACACACATGACATACTCGAGTGGAGAGGTTCCTTGACTTCCTTGATCGTGCCGGTCGCTGTTATTTTGCGCAGAATATCGAGGGGTGCATGAAACATGCGCGCGCAAGTCAATGGCTCCATAGTGTGTCGCTGCATTCACCGATCGTTGGGGAATCGGCAGCCAGTAAAGCCTATCGACGATATCCTCTGCCGCCACCAGCGAAGCTTCAACCGCAACTCGATCGTATTCGTCGTCGTATTTGTTATTGGATTGCTACCGAACGTTTTTGGCTCCGTATCTACGAGCATTGTTGCCGTCGCGTCAATCACCTCCTTGATTTTCGTTCTTCGCCTAGGTCCAGCACCGCTCCACCGTATGTCTTAAGTCCGCAGTACTTCCAATAATGAGGTTCACGTTTAGCAGTGAACGCCTTCGCCGCGTCTTCAGTCTTCACCGATGTCGTCCTGTCACCTTGTATCTTAATGTACTCATTCTTGAGCACTTTAAATACGTCCAGCGATTGCATTTCTGCGCTGCTCATATCCAGGTCTAATACGACATTCTCGTAGATCTTGGGGAGCAACAAGCAGATCGCCACGTCCTCTTCCTCCACCTTGGCACCGATGCTGCTTCGCTTCGTGCTGATGTTGAGGAATTCATTTCGATGATGTAACACAATGCTGTCTTTCTTCATTTTCAAGCTGAAAAGCTGGCGTTTCTTGTAGATGCGCCCGGCTTTCTGCGATCCACCGTACATCATCTATAAACGCGCCCACGCGACGCAAGCCTCCTTACAATCATCTACAATGTGATGGTAGTCAGCGTCCACGCGGAGAAACTCCAGGCCGAGCGCGGTCTTGTTTGGCCTTGACGTAGTCGTTCATGGCGCGATTGTCCGCGTAGGTCGGCGACTCCCGGTTCACCTCGTGCCACGTCGACTTAGTCACAAACACGCTGCGCATGTAGTGGCTCCATGTCGTGTAGTTGTCTCTGTCGAATTTTTTTTTGTCGATGCAGATCTTGTGTGGTATCTTGGACAGTGGACATCGCGCTTCGGCTCACAGCCTGTTGAAAGTTGTGAATCTTGATGACCGAAACTGGAACGGATGCTGGGGAGTCCAGTCAGAAGACCTAAGAAAACACTTGAGCAGTAGGTGGAAGATTGGAAAGTAATAACTATGGGAGCTTATCTGTCTACGCCCTGATTTTTACGTTTCCACGTATATATCAGTCGGCGCCTCTAATCATCCTGCTCGTATAGTAATTCCTGCGCAATTACCTACGCAAAAACTGTCTCGTTAAAACTTCACCTTAAAGTCCAGGTTGTTACGGTAAATTTCAATATATTGGTTCCAGAATGTTCAAATATAAAAAAGAATAGCTTTAGAACACAACATCGGTTCTTAGGTTATGTATTGAAGTATCCAATTCTCCCCCTCGTCTACTATAACCCTAAAGATTAGACACGCAGACAAACTACACCTCTTCCTTCCTGCTGCAGAAAACGTCAGCGTCTTGCCCGCATTGACCAGTTTTAAATCTTTTCACGAATCTTTAATACTTAGGAATGGTGCAAGTTCTACGTAACTAGCGTCTGTTGCATCCACTGTCGCCTAAATTTATCCATCCGGGAAGGAAGATGTAAATTTATATATGGATATATTGCAACCAGTAAAACCCGTTACGTAGCGGGTAAAGCAGCCCTCGCACATATCTCGTAACTAAGTCTAATTACGCGTCGATGCACAACTGCCGAGTACAGAACGTCACCCAATGTGGAGTTGTAATAATTTTGTACATTCGGTTCAGACCGCCAATCCTCTCTTACCTGCCACGTCTCCGATCAATAAGTCTATGCGATGGTTTGTAGATAGTGTTGAATGTGAAATACACATTCTCGAATTTTTGCAGTCACGCTCAAGTCACATCCATCTCCTAAATGAGGTGCTTAGCTTCGGTGAGAATCAACCCTTGATTGATTCGAAGCTGTAGGGATACCTACGACATACTCCCCACGAAGCCTAAGGTCATGCAGGAGTAGGCACGGGAATGTTAGCGGTCGGCGGCAACCCCGCGCTACGCGTCACAACTTCGGCAAACGAATACGTCAGATCACGGGAACGCGCAACTGGTCCATCAAAAGCAGTAACTAAGACTGGTAGCGTCCCCTACCCCTAAATTTGCTGCCTCGGAAGTCGCAAACTCTTTTTTCGATGGGGTGCGCAAGCGACCATGAACGGCAAAGTTTTGTCGGGAGGCGTTCCCTGTACCACCATCATTGCTTTGGCGATCGCAACCACATCAGAGACTGCTTCCGCATGCAATGACACGTCTCAGACGTGTGATGTCTCTTCGGCTTTGCTTACTGAAGTCGGCTGGCCACGATTGCTATCACCCATTTGACTGGGCGTCTCTCTAAGCGCTTCTTCATCCTCTGCTGTACTTGGCAGCGATGCACTGAGAGCGCTTAGAAGATAGGCTTCAACCTGGCTTGGTTCGGCTTATCTTTTTCCGTTGCTACACTCGCTCTTAGCTCCTCGAGCACTTACGTCGTCGACCAGATTTTTAGGTGCACTTCCTGATAATATCAGTTGTTAGTTAATTACACGAGTAGACTTACTTGAAAATACCAACGTATGCGTTGTCAGTGGCCAGTACGAGAGTCTTGTAAATCATTGCTCCACAATTACTCTCTTTTCTGCCCTAGATGATCCAGACGTAGAAACCTACCCATATTTAAGCAGCAGCATTCATCGTGCCGAGAAAGGATACGAGCGTGTCCACGCGCAAAAATAAACGGAGCCGGGTACACAGCCTGGGTTTGCTTTAATCTTTCTCATATCTTGTCACGCATTTTTTCAAAGCAAATCTCGTCGTAAGTATCATAAATGTCCAAAGGTTCTATAACCAGTACTTTATTCAACTGAAGTCAAAAGTTTTTAATTTATACTTGTGTTGATTATTCAAACTGGTATAGTGTTTACCACAGTAAACTTAAGTGCAATATGGGATTAAAAACTTCTTGATTGCTAATGAGTCTTTCCATTTCAAGAAAGCTGTCACACAAGTGGTCTCAAAGGGCTCCATTTTTACCAATGCTTTGTTCACTTCTCGATTTGCGACCACACACAGGTGTGTCCACTTGCAGAGAGCACATTGCGAGCGAGCCTGGCCCCGGTAGCACGAACTCGACAATATCGTGATCGTGGGGACTCATTATGACACAATTCTGTTTGCGGGTAGCGGTACCAGCAGTTCAGTTCTTGGTGCTGGTGTCGACTGTGCTGCTTAACGATTGCGCGCTTTGTGCGTGCGCATGTGTTGCAGTGCAAGGAGTATGACTGACTGGCATGTAAAAAGCTACTGACTGGTGCGCATCCGTTATAGTTTGTACGCTGAGATAGCAGCAGGTCAGATCCTGCTGTGCTCGGTGTTCTATTTGTTTTATGACGACTACGTACGTGTGTAGCGCGGGTATTGGGTCAGCTGGCCTTACTGAGATGTTTTAACGCAAACGAATCTATACAAAGCTTGTGGAGACTCGTTTGATGTAGCATTAGTTTATTTAGGGATTACTAACTTCTATAACTCAAGCGAACTGTTCACTTTACATAGAACGTGCATGTTACCGGTCAGCAAAGCTGCATCATGAAATGCACTGCTCACTGTATTTCAGATCCACCAGCATCGGAATCTACCCCTCCTTACGCACAGCCCGTGTGTCATTAATTCCTGCAAAATCGACTGAAGTTGTCGTCTATATCATCTGTGCTGCGGTCTTCGACACCCTCACTAACAAACAATGAGATATTTCTCGTGAACTCGCATCAGTTCCAACCTGTTTAGCACACGGCGCAAGATGTTGCTCTTTCATCTCCCGCAATGAATTTTCCCGCATACTTATGAAGTGCGAAAAAAGTCTGTGGTCTCTTGGCGCCTTAATCTGCGTCTTATGTACACCAAAAGACACGTGTAGCTTATCACCAAACGCTTGCAGCTTCGCAAGTGTTTTTAGACAGTCCAATAGACCCTATGCTTTTGATGTCGCTCACGCGCTGGCAAAAAAAAATACACACACGCGGAAAAAGTACACGTTCGTTAGTGCATCTCGATCGGCAATAAACACAGCAAGAAAATGGAATCTGCGCAACCATTTCCATAATTATTTTCTATATAGTAAAAAGTGGGAACCTAAAAAGACAAACAACTCGCCTAGAAAACAAGCGGATAGCCTACAGGCGTGAAAAGGGCCGCACATAAGTGGGATAGAAAGGGTGTTCAGCTTAAAATAGAAATAAATTAATGGTTAGAACAGCAATTAAATTGTTCTATTTGGACATAGGAGCAGCATCCGAGCGAAGTATGCCAGTACGAGCGTGAAGAGCCGCAGTCCGCGACAAGTATGATAGTAATTTTGCCAGAGCGAGCTTTTGTACAACGGCGAAGGTAGCTGAAAATATAAATAGTGATGCTGTAGTGAATAAACAGCGTGCAGACTAGACGCCCCAGCAAGACTAGAAGACATGGACGCCGAAAGAGCATTCGATGCCGATCGAACTAATTCCACTCACACCTATTGAAAGGACTGCGCAAGCCGGCGAGATTACGGTGCAGCGGTATACCTGAAGACACGAGTCATGAAGCAGTTAATGAATTTTTTTTGGAGTGAGGCGAGAAGAAACTGGTGCCTGATCTGGAGGTTTGTTACCATACAGGATCATCGAGCATGTCAAACCTATCATTGGCTTCGGCTGGAAGAACATGTGCGAAGCCCGGGTTGTGAAAGTCTAGTTTAACAGTTGAAAGAACAGGTTCGTACTTCAACTTCTCCGTTAGAGATTTCATTGCAGTCATATTCTGTCCCTGTTTCTGCTTCTCCTTTGATGGAAGTTGTCCACGTCCACCCTAATTATCGGGATATCCATTTTTAGGGACTCTTGAATTACAGTCCGAGATTCACGAACATCGTGAATTTCTAAAATTTGACCCCCAACGGATACCGTTTGATGCACCCGGCGAGCAAAAGGTACTGCTCCCCTCTCCTTGTTTGTGTTTCGGAATGGATGGCTATCGTGTACATCATGAACTTTCTTCACGGTACACAATTTGTATAATCAAAGAAGGACAAACACATGAGATAACCCACATTTGTGATGCCTTTGATGGAGAGCTGGTTCTTCAGATGGTCTAGTGCAAAGGAATCCTTCCTGTGCATAGCTTATTCACACTTTTCAAACAGCTAAAAGATGACCTCGTTAAATTGACCTTAGTACAAAACCGCAAAGCCAAATTTTTATGTATACGCGTGAGCAGCTTCCTTTGCCAGCTTTAAGTAACCACACGTTATTGCTGGAATGGAACAAGAGGGAGATCAAGTAGTGTCACTCATTCAGTATTTAAAGGGATGGGGAAGGTCCAGAGAAGCAAGGATGTCAAGAAATTGCAAAGAAGCTGCTGCATTAAAGGTGTAAAGAGAGTCGTACGCACAAATTTTATTTTGGAGGCGGTTCACAATCTTGTAGGCTATTCAGTGATTTTGCGGCTGTCCACTTTTCATACGAGTAAATCTCACTATCAGCATCATCCTAGGTCAAAAGTCTCAGTATCCGCACCAGTCCCAAAATCAGCACCAGCCAATAATCATTTTAGTGTAGATCACACTAAATAACTTTAAAAAAGGGAGCCTATGACTATCGCGTTTTTAAATATTGCTATATAGCAGGGGAATGCGCTTTGCGATTCGAAGCGACGTGCTATAAGTGAGCGAGACATGCTTGACGACAGGATGTGCGGTATGTGTGATTTTTACACAGTTTTCCGCATGGGTGAACAGGAACTGATGCAGAGTCTACCTGTGTGCTGTACTATCTCCAATGTTGCGACATTGCGTAACACGAGAAAATAAGGCTTTGGCCCGATGTACAATGCCGCAAATGTATTGAGGCCATGAAGGCGCTGATCT